TCCTCCCTGACACCCGAGCTGAAGTGCTTGTGCTGTGATCTCTCCTCATACAGGTTGCATTACAGCGAAGGACATGGCTCTGTATGCAGAGGGTTGTGGGTTCAAGTCCCAGGAGGGGATGACTATGAGTAACTTGATTAATGCTGGAAAATCCATGTCTATAAATGGGTATGTGGAAAACCTCTGATGACCAACTAAATTAGGGAGAAAAAAAAAAAACAGAAATCACACACTGTGTGGGTACGACCCTGTGATGAACTGGCATCTCATCCAGGATGTCCCCTGCCTTGTGCCTTATGCTGCCAGGGATGTACTGCAGCCTCACCCTGTCCTTGTACTGGATAAGCAGTTGGCAAATGGACGGATAACTAGAACGGAGGTGAAAAGCATGTATGATCTGCAAGGAAACTTCAATACTTAGTTCATCACAAAGAGCAAAGATTTTCGACTTGAAAGCTTAAGTTTAACATCATACCGGGGAACAATGACCCTATTCTGTCACATAGTGCTGAGAGGAGGTGCCCGTTGGCTAGGGGCCAGCTCACGGTGCTGCCTCTTGTTAGAGTGGAGGGACAGCGCTGTGAATTGGACGAGAGAGACATCCAGAAAGCTCAAACCATAATATATGGGGAAGCTCAGAGTTCACGCTAAAGAGAAAGACGTCAAGATGGAAAAAAAAGGAACAAAAAAAGCTTGACACACTAAGAAAGAAAAACAACTGAGCTTGACAGCAGAAATACATCATTTTGTTTCCCCCATTATGCAATAAAGTCAATTCCTGTGTGCTCTTAAAGACCAAATAATTCACTACCCTGCCCTGTCCTTCTGTTTAAGTCTGCCACCCTAACAACCTTCCCCTGGTCATGATTAACTTTCTTAGATCTTCTAGCTGCTTCGTGATGATGGACCTTTTTATGATGACCATCATACTGCTTAGACAGAATGTTTTAGGGGGCTGTACTGTCTGAATACAAATTGAATATCTTTCATTTATATCTGAATGGATACTGCGGTAAATCAATGTTTGTACTTTCAAGCTGATTTCACTTATAAATAATTAAAAGCATAAACACATTTGGACAGTAATATCAGAGATCTGTTCATTTTCCTATAATGCAGCGGCCTGGAAAGCCCATCCTAGGAAAAACAATGGAGGGACAGAAGCATAGCTGATGTCACCTTGGGCCCCCATATACGGTCCCCCCGCAGTCGAATTTGCTGGCCGTAGGGGGGGGGCTATGAAGCACTGGGCCCCCTGAATGTCTCCATGCCCCACCAACACCCCTGTCAGTCCACTGGAGGGCGGTTTTGAGACCAATCACAGAGCAAACGTCAGGCAGCAAACCTTCAGTCCTGGATGTGTGACGTATGCTACTGTGAGGGCTAGTGAGCCTCACAGGGCACTCCTGTGGGTGATATTTAGAATATATTTCCATCCATTTATCTCCCAATCACATATCCACTACATCGCTGCCGGTATTTTAATTTATGCATGTTAAAGGTTTAGGACATGTGGCTGTTGTACCACATTAAAATACAATACAATATTACTCACACTGCAATGTCTAATAAATTACGTTGTCACATTCTGATGATAATTGTAGGCTACTAAATATTAGATGTTAGATTAGATGTATTAGACCACTATACATACCTTAATTACATCGAAAACAGCTCCAGACAAATGGTACAATATGACATAGAACTGACATCAATAGAACTGCCTGATATTACACAGTCGTGTGTACACTGATGGTAAACAGACTGCACAAATAAAGAATTAGGAGGCTAAATTATAATTATGGAATTATATTAACACAAGTATAAACTGAATATAACAGCATATAAAAGTCACTACACTATCATGCGGTATATCTTAATATAACGTCATATCGCCGAAATTCGTAGACTATGTAAGATTAATAATAAAAATAATCTCAATAAAACAATATTATTATTATTGTAGGGAGGCGTTTTATTTAATTAATTTTTTGTCGTGTGGAATCGGTAACCGTGAACATACCCTGAAAACTGTATGAAATAAAGTCATGGCACAAGAAGAACTGTAATTTGGGTATGTCAGCGCAGCCTACATGTCTGCAAATATTACAGGTTGCCAGTCAAGCTCACGGGTTTTTATGCATGTCACAGAAATCCTCCGGCGCTCTGCATCAGCGGGACATGACAATGATCAGACTGAAACGGGGTATCTGTCATGCGTGCTTTATCGCTCCTATTATATATCACTGCGGGGGAAAAGCAGGTTACGCCTACGCTGGATAGCAGATGAAACGGTGCGGGGGTTTGGGTGCACAGCGTTGAGTTGGGTGTTTAATTCCTTAACGTCAATTACGGCCGTTTGCAGTGTTGGAGACTTAATTTGCGGTAATTCACAACATGGCGCTATAAATTTCCCTTATCCTTCGTAACGTCGAAATGATAGCAGCGCTGGCGCAAATACTCTAATAAATCATTTCATTTTATGCATTAAATATGGCACGCGAGCAATGCAGATCAAAAGTGGGCTTTCTAAATAAGGAATCCGGTGTCCCGTCTTGGTAGTGCAAGCTTTAGCCCCATGTATGAGGCGAGGATGACTGTTTGGTCGTCTGAGACCTATAGGTGGATTCTTTCTACCTCCCAACACAATTAGATAGAATTTCTCTTTAGAGTCCAGTGTCACACTAGCGATGAGCCACAGCCAGGGTACTGCCAGCCCAGCTCTCCTAGCAAACAAGACTTGTTAGAGCAAATCCCTCCAGATGTACCAGTTTCCTCCCAGAGTAAAAACATGCAGGTATGTGAACTGGTGCCTGTAAAGTGCCCCTAGCCTGTGTGTGCCCTGTGAAGGATCGCAGCCTGGCCGTTTGCCCCAGCCTCATGACCAGCGTTCCAGGGGCAGCAGGAAGCCCTCAGGGAGCCGCGCCCAACGACACACAGAAAGATGACAGCAAGGCAGGTGCCTATAGCAGCTTCATCAGTTTATTAATGAGTTTAATTTTATACCAACAAAAACACAGTTTCTCTCTCTCCCTCCCTCCCCTGCACCACGAAAACCCCAGTCCCACCACCCCTCCAACAGCGCCACCCACGCCGGGCAGAGCGACGAACAATGGAATCACGACCCAAGACTTAAACAGACTGCCGACATCTGAATCCAGCTGGGAGTCAGTGGGGACCAAGACATCAAGCGGATGCTGATCTGGACGGGGACGCACACGCAGCCACGGGCACCAGTGACACGCTCACCCAGGCACATCGCTCGCTCTCTAACACACAGACGAGTCGACACAGGCTCGCACAGCTGCAGCCTCCCACATCCTCGGACATACAAATGGGGGGCGGGGGGGCAGAGAGGAGAAGTGGGGCAGCTTACAGGACTAACCATGGCTTCAACTGCTGTTATTCCTATTGTTCTGGACACCACAGCGTCCAAAGATTCTGGCTTGACGCGTGCACACGAATACATAGATTAGCACGATATGCACAAGTCATGTCCCTTCACATTTAGTATGTATGTCCACTGAGTGACTATGGTGTGTGTGTGTGTGTGTGTGTGTGTGTGTACCTGCAAATACCAGACCTTTATTACACAATATTCCAAAGCTTCAGATACAAGTACCTTGGAACAATTTTAGACAGCTGCTAGTCAATGACTCATTAAAAACAAAATTCCCTAACCCTAAACCCCCCTCTCAAAAACAGACCCATACAGATATACAATAAATAAACAAAATGACATTTAAGAGAAATGACAACCAGAGAGATGGAGGGAGAGAGAATTCAAACAGAAGAACAGTACAATTTCTTCCCCCCCACCCCCAAAAAGGGCCTGAAATAAAATTGTATTTACAGACTGAGAGCCCAGCCTCTGCTTGACTGGCTCCACCCCGCTAGAGAAAAATTACAAGAACAACGATATAATAACAACAAAAAAGTTTATATTTACAGATTTGCAGGGGGGGG